GCTGCTGATCCAGATCGCTTTCCTTGTCACTTAACAAACCTCCAGTGTCACTTTTCTAGGTCTTGGATCATCCGAATAGCCTCTTCAAAAGGAATAGATCAACCGTGCGAAGTTCCACTTCTGGACGCCATTTCACTCTCTCGTTCTAAAAATTCTAACGCCAACACCAGTGCCTTATATGGCATGAAACGTGACCTGTGATTGGCTAAATCTACTAACTGTCTTTGTGCCAAATTTGGGAGCAATCGGAAGTAACGCAATTTTTTGCGAAGGTGCTTACGTCATCGACCCCGAAGCTCCGATTTGGTCTGACCATAGCTTTTCATCGCTTTTTCTTCGAATTTCTTCTACTTTGATTTTGTTTTCTTCTCCTTTGGCTTGCTTGGATTCTTTCTCTTCAACTGGGAAAGATTCTTCCAAAGACCACTGAAGACAATGATTATTATTTGGTAAAGCGCTGCATCGGTATTGTAATGCAGGAATTTCGCAGATTAAGAGGACATCGATGCACTGAATTTCAACACCAGACACGAATTGTGATTCCAATGCAATTTAATCTGATTTCAAACACGTCAAACTAAAAATACAAAAAAGAAAACCTAGTCTAAGAGACATGAAACGGAGGTAAGCTAAAGCAATAATTATTACATAACAAAACAAGAAAAGAGGAGCGCACAAAAAACCTAACAAAAATCGATCAAATATTGAAACGAAAACAACAAGGGGAGAGAAAAATACGCTTACCGATTGTCCTCTCTGTATGCCGGAATAGATTCACAAATGAACGCAGTTAACTTCGCAGTTAGAGCTTTCGCATTAACTCTATCCAGCAACAACGCAGGAGGTATGCCATTTTTTGATCTTACGCATCACTAATGTCTCACCAAAACTTAATCTTCAACTCAAGAACAGCTACAGGTATAGCAGAGGTCAACGGTTCGAATCCCAAACAAGCCTGAATTTTTTTCAGGCTTCATTCAAATAATTCTTCAATCCGTAGTTCACGTATGATTTTCATCTATTCATAATTTCAAAAGTTCATCAGTTGAACAATTGATTTTCAGAGGGAAAGAGGCATGATCTGCCCTGTTGGCCGATTCTAATTTTCCCACCACTTTGGAGCACAATGCTGTATCCCCAACTGGCCAACGGGGACCTGGCATACCCTTTAAGGGTAAACTTCATGGCTTCGTTCAGAGGGGCTGCCCTGATGGTGCAAATGGAAGCCTTCAACAATTTTATGTCAGATGTGTGTCAGCCGTCGAGTGGTTGTTTGGAGATATTGGAGTATTTCAACTTTATGGACTTTCTAAAAACCTTGAATAGTTCTAAGCCCAATTTCAAAATTGTACGTCATATGTGCCCTGTTAAGAAATGCGTGAACTTGCCTTTACGGAAATTCAACTTAAAGTTTTTTGGAGCTGGATCCTCCTACACTGGAGGAATACTTCTCTTGAATGATTTTTAGTCCTCTTTCTACAAAGTGCTGACGAAAAATTTAGCTCTGAATATCAGTTAAAGGTAGTTAAAAACGTTTCGATAATTCATCGATGTTTTTTGATGATAGAGGAATCAAAGACTTTATAAAGAGTCAAATATTATTCAAGCACAATTTTAATAGAAGAAAGAAAGCTGCCAAGGAAACAAAATGAAGGCTGTAATTACGCTCACTCTTACTAGAAAGGCTCAGTAGTTTGACCTCAGTGGTTACCAATTTAATAGATAAACACAAATTAACATAGCCGTGCTGAACTACTTTGACACAGAATTACAGTGACTGAAAAATGAAAGGCTAAGTGTAGTCACCTGTTTACCAGTTTCGACAGTAGCTCCATCATGTTTTGTCGTTGCTGCTACATCAATTGCATCATCTCCCCATGCTGCTCAAATGATCGGGCTGTCTAATTTTCTTTTAAGTCTAACTCTCTCCTTTTGACTGGAAGCTGTAGTTGAGATTTTTCTCTGCGAAGTTCAATGGAATCATTGCCTCCTGTTCTCCTTTTCTTCTTAGGTTCGACAGGAGCTTCATCCCCGGCAATTGTTGATTTGGTCTGACCATAGCTCTCCATCGCTTTTTCTTCGAATTTCTTCTACTTTTTGTTTGTTTTCTTCTCCTTTGGCTTGCTTGGATTCTTCCTCTTCAAGCGGGAAAGATTCTTCCAAAGAGCAAATCTCTTCTAGGGCTTGTTTGAGCTCCAATGTGGGTTCCACTTCAATCCCCGACAACGTTTCCTCCTGTGGAATTTTACGCTTAAACTTCTCCTTGATTAATTTGAATCGCTCTCTTAGAGATCGCTTGTTTACACGGAATTTGGCGGTCTTACAGGTATTAAGGTATTTCAATATTTCTTCCCAAGTTTTGCCTCTTTCGACTTTTCTTTCTTTGAATTTGTGTGGCTGACAGATGAGTATTTCACAGTAGAGAAGGACATCGTGCTCCTCCAGTCCATGCTCGCCAATCCTGTAAATAAAGAGAAAGCAGATACGACAGTTTCTCTGATTTCTTTATCCTAATTGACCAAGAGAAAAGCATTTGGAGCATCTAGATTAAAGTTGAATACAAGATAACATCCTTCACTCAGAGGATAAACAGGCTCAAGTGCTAGAGGATACAACGAACTTTCTTTAGTAAAGCAAAGCAAGAAAATTTAATGCATGAGTTCAGTCGAAATGCTCCACCGTGGCTTTGCGCAGTGCGCATCACTTTTACAATTTTAACCAACTTTTCAGTGTTTTACTGCCCAAAGCAAAAAAAGTGACAATGTTTACCTAATGAAGGTGAAAAATCCAAAAACGTTGAAATTTATGCAAAAATAATACTAACAGTACTCATGTGACTGGTGGACAGCAAAATACTAC